CATTAGGGGATGTTTCTGTTGAAATAGACAGAAAAGTTGAATATTTGGTGGTTCATCTTAAGCCTGAGGGCTTATAACTCTAAAATTCTGGTTTCGATACCGGCAGATTACACATAGCCCATTGCGTAGCTTTGTGCTTAAAAACAAACATTCTGAAATAAAGCAACCGTAAAACAGCAACAATTATTTAGATAGAAATAACATAGTTTAAAATAACAAATAAGAAAACGTATCTCTGTTCTTAAGTCGATCACGGATTAGCTTATAGATATTGTGTTTTCATTAATTGTCTTACACATCTTTTAAAGGTTTGTATGTGTAACACTACACTTCATCACACACACAAACACACGTGAAAAGAGAAATACGGTGTATAATTTGAATACACACTTGTCTGAAATTCGTACGCGGTGCGCGTTTCTTTCACGTGTTAAATAGTGTGCTTGGTCAGAATGAAAATCTATATTAGATGAGACACTATCTTAGGGTTACAGAAGTGCATGCTGAAAATAGTTATTCGTAAAGACAATGCACAGAATGAAAACGTGGAGCTATTCTTGGAAAACCCGTTTATCCTAAGGTTTCCTATTCACTGTTCTTTGTTTTTAATTCAAGGGTTTTTCAATCGCTCAACGTATGTTCATTAGTAAGAGGTCAACTAAAAATTAAAAAAAGACGATGTAATAAATGGTCAAGAATCAATATTTTGTTTAAAATTAAAAATTTTCTTATTTTCTAGGCCTAGATGTACTTATATGCAGTTGTTTGAATCTTTCCACACATTTTATGTTGGTTTAAGTACCAACTTATTTTCTTTAGCTTTGTCGATATTCAGGCATGGAATTCGCTCGCAGGAAGGCAACTGCAACCTGCACGTGCTGCCCTCTGGCGAACTACTGTATCCTGTAGCAACTGTAGCTGTTATTTATAATAAACTAAACAATAAACAACGTCACTACACTGATCACACAGAAGACATCCAATGGTAAAGTTTTAAATAAAGATTATTAAGAGATTGAATTATCACGCCCGAAAAATATGAATAAAAAAGATTACAACTTATTCTGGAAAGTAACAAAAAATAAAAAATCAACTATGCAAAACTTCTGGGAAACGAGAAGTGTTTATATATAACAACAGGTCTGTTTTCTGCCACAGCTGTTTATATTTAGTTTATTACGATCAAGAATATATAGAGCTGTATCTCTCTCTCTTTATAGCATAACAGTTCACAGCGGTCAAGAAATAGTGGCCACTGGCCAAGGAGCAGGACCAACCAACGCTTCTCAGGTAGTTATTTTTTATATTGAGTTTCATACAAACCTTATAGTAGGTTCGCTAATAAACCACCACAGAGTATTTACACCCTGACTGTTTGTGAAATGATGTCGCCGATTTTCAAAGATTTGCTTTAACTTTGAATTAGAAATAACACAGTTTTGGTGTAAAGTATAAAACTAAGCTAAGTCTGATACAAAAAGTAAGACATGTCTAGGTTAGGCAAAGTATAAGAATAGCCTAGGTTCGGTTAAAACAAATTGGTAATTTAGATTTGATGCAACGTACAAGAATAATATAGAGTTGATGCAAAGCAAAATGACAACGTAGGTTTGACGTAAAATATATGATTATCTAGATCTGATGTAAAATATATGATTATCTAGATTTGATGTAAAATATATGATTACTTTGATCTGATGTAAAATATATGATTATTTAGATCTGATGTAAAATATATGGTAATCTAGATCTGATGTAAAATATATGAATATTTAGATTTGATGTAAAATATATGGTAATCTAGATCTGATGTAAAATATATGATTATTTAGATTTGATGTAAAATATATGTAATCTAGATCTGATGTAAAATATATGATTATTTAGATTTGATGTAAAATATATGGTAATCTAGATCTGATGTAAAATATATGATTATTTAGATTTGATGTAAAATATATGATTATTTAGATCTGATGTAAAATATATGATTATCTAGATCTGATAAAAAATATATGGTTATTTAGATTTGATGTAAAATATAAGACTGATCTCAGAGTATAAAACTGATAAAATCTGGTTGAATGAATGGCAACTGCCTGTTGTACAAAAACAAGTATAGAGGACGACGTTTCGAAAGTTTTCCGCCTTTCGTTTGAACTGAAAACTTGTGTTTCTACAACAAGCAGTTGCCGTCCTTTCAACCAGATTTCATCATGAATACTCTGCCTAAACAATCTATCAAAGTATAAGACTGATCTAAGTTTGATGTAAAGAGTATAAGGATGATCTAAGTTTGATACAAAAAATATAAGGCTGATCTAAGTTTGATGTAAAGAATATAAGACTGATCTACGTTTGATGCAAAGAGTATAAGACTGATCTAAGTTTGATACAAATAGTATAAGGATGATCTAAGTTTGATGTAAAGAGTATAAGTCTGATCTAAGTTTGATACAAATAGTATAAGGATGATCTAAGTTTGATGTAAAGAATATAAGACTGATCTACGTTTGATGCAAAGAGTATAAGACTGATCTAAGTTTGATACAAATAGTATAAGGATGATCTAAGTTGGATGCAAAGAGTATAAGACTGATCTAAGTTTGATACAAATAGTAATACTCTGAAACAATGTTTCTCGACCAGAGATCCGTAGGATTTCATGAAAATAAACAAACAAAACTGATAGAATATTAGAATATTCAAATGTAAATCGTAATGTTTTTTTTTATTGTTGTTGTATTTGCATTTTAGTGGTTCGTGAAAGTTTAGATGGGTAGTAAACCAGTTTCTGGTATCGAAAAGTTTTTAAAACGCTGTCTTAGAACACGAAATATTGCTACTGTACACGTCAACATATTCGCCATAAAATACTAGCTTAAGGCCGTATTTAACTTGTTAAATATTTTCTGCTTATCAACATTACCGGATTTTGTTGTTTTTGGTATGTTTAATTTATTTCATATTACAGATATATATTTTATGATAATCTAATGTTACGATTTTATCTTTTATTGGATTTTAACTTGTATTATCCTTACGTTCTAAACATTCTTCGCCCCCCTTTAATTAGTTTGGATAGGAAGTGTTGAGAAATCTCTATTGTAACAATAGAAATTATGATTGCTCCTCTTCAATGGCTCTCTTTGTTATATTGTTGAACGTTATCAAAACCTTTCTTGTCACTTGAAGGGCTCTCTTTGTTATATTGTTGAACGTTATCAAAACCTTTCTTGTGACTTGAAGGGCTCTCTTTGTTATATTGTTGAACGTTATCAAAACCTTTCTTGTCACTTGAAGGGCTCTCTTTGTTATATTGTTGAACGTTATCAAAACCTTTCTTGTC